GACAGGTCTGGGCTAGGGTCATCCATCTGAACTTATCTATATATTGATGACACATAAATCCATTAACTCCAATTACCCCAGTTCCTTACCCTTTCTACACATGCCTTTCTCCTTCCCACCTCTGCTTTGCTCATGCCATGCCTGATGCTCGAGGCCCTTCTCCCTCCTCCTAACCTATCCACATCCTTCTAAGTCCAACCTAAGTCCCAGCCCTTCCCACAAAACTTTCACCAACAAACCAAGCTGTGTTCTTCCCCTCCCCTACTCTTTCACATGTGAAAGTCTTATTTCTCTCACTACAATAGAGTCTCTTTGAGGACATCTGTTATATGTTCTAAACTTATTTCGCATCCCCTGTGGCATGTAGCCCCATATTTTGCGCTAAGTCAATGCCAACTGGTACATAAGACTGATTGTTTTGTTTGACAAAACTCCAGAAGTTTTGATCTGGTTATTTGTCATCTCATAAACTTTATTCCTCTGTTAGTCACCTTGTGGTTATTTGTTAAATGTATTTAGAATAGATGTATTTCCTCTAGGCTTTTTGGCATACACATAAAGAATAAATTGGTAATTCAAATTGAAATCATCAACTAAAAAGCCCTTTGGAAAAAAATAAAGCCAAGACCATATGCAAACACACACAGGATCTAGCCTGGACCTCTTCAACTTCCAATCCGTCCTCCTTCTCAGATCTAGGTCCACACCCATCATCGGTCAGCCAGATGTTCCCCTTTTTGGTCAGCTAGGAATGCCTAGGTTAGAGTTGGCCCTCACCTCTACAGGAACCTTATAATGTCCTTACCCTTATGTATAGCCGTGGTTCTCAAACTTCAGAGAACATCAGAATCACCTGGAGGGCTTTTTAAAACACAACGGCTGGGTGCCCCCTAAAGTTTCTGATTTGGTACATCCGGAGTAGGGCCTGAGAATCTGCATTTCTAACAAGTTCCTAGCCGATGCCAGTTGCTGCTGGCCCGGGATCACACTTTGAGGGTCACTGGTGTATATTCTCACTTTGACTCGTCTGTCTGGCTTTGACCCCTGCCTGGTTCTGACCTTTAGTACTTGAGTCACTATCCTACTCCAGGCTGCTGGACAGGCACTAGAGCTGTCTCAGTCACTGACCCTACCTCCCAGCCTCCACCCCTCCCCCGCCTTCTTTATTTCAGTCTCAGCGGTTGAAAACCAGCCTGTGCCCTTGACCCCAATTTCTTGCTTCCTCTTCAAGACCATCTTCTATCATTTTCTCCCTCTTTCCTAAATCTTGAGTCCCTCCTTCTGTCCTACTCAAATATCCTCAAACCTGTCCTACCCATAAATAGACATAAAAACATAAGCAAACTTCTCCTTGACCCTGGTGTTCTCTCCAATGATCATTCAATCTGTTACTTCCCTTTCTCATTCAAACTTCAGGAAGAAGTAGTCTCCCTCCCTATCTCTATCTCCTCCCTTGACATTATCTGGCTACTAGTTACCCCACACTTCCCAAATTGCCATTGCTAAGGTCAACGCTAACCACTGAAGGGAAAGAAAAGGATGCTTTGCTGTCCTTATGTTCCTGGATCCTTCTGCTGCATCTTATACTTTTTCCTTCTTTCTTGCAGTCTCTTCCCCTGAATTCTGTGGTGCATACTTCCTCTGTTTTTTTTCTGGTTCTTCTCCTACCATTTCTTCTTCATAGGTTTCTCTCCTCCTCCTCTGACAACCCTTCAAATGTCAACAATCCCCAGGATTCCATCCGTAACCATTAAGTCCAGAGCTTCCCAACCAGTGTGTCAGGAGTCAGCATTATAGCAGTTCCAAGATATTGATCCTCTCAGCCCTTGGGGGTAGCCTGGCCTGTTTGTACCAGTGTGCCAGACACATATTGTTTCTATATGTGCCACCATTTGACTTTGTCTTTCAAACACTCCCCAAAAGATGTCATCCTCTTCCTGGTTTCATTACCATCAACATCATGATGGCTCTGAAACTTACATACCCAGACCAATCCCCTGGTGGAAACTTGAGAATCACCCTTGAATCCTCTCACTCATTTCTCTCCCACATCTAAATAATTTTCAAACCTGTCTGCTCCTTGCCTTCCTATCTACCCCTACTCAAACCCCATTACCACTTGCCTGAATTATTCTAGAATCCCCCTGACTGATCTCCCCGTGGCTTTGTGATTCTTAATCTACCCTCTACACAGCTGCCAGAAATGTCTGTCTAAAATGCAAATCTAACCACACTACTCCCATGCTTAAAAGCCTGCAATGGCTCACTTCTGACAGGATGAAGTCCAAACTCCTTCACCCATGAGAAACTTCATGACTGAGCCCTACTTGTTTCATTTCCCCAGGCTCACTTCCTGCCACTTCCTCCCTCACATATCTCTTTCTATTCTTGCCTCCAGGCCTTTGCCCATACTGTCCTCTGTACCTGGAATGTTCTTGCCCATTTTGCCGTCATCACCCTTCCCTTACCTTAGCTCGAGTATCACCTTGCCTTCCCTAACTGCCCCCCTCACAAGGAATTGACACATTCTATGTTTTTCTGACTACCCTAGGCATATTTCTGTTGTTGCACTTAGCACATTTGCATTATGATTATTTTTTAAGTATTTCTCTTCTCCCACTAGACTGCATGTCCTTTTGTATCCCCAGTTCTGACACAATGCCTGACACATAGAAAATACTCAATAAATCATTGATGAATAAACGTAGCCTTAGGCTTTTCCAAATATTAAGACATTACCTAATTCTAGGAGCAACACTTAGATTCCTTTGGAACAAACATAAGGTTATTAGCTTTAAATTTGAGGCTAATTTGAAAGAAATACTTCCAACTTCTTTAATTAAAAGTTATAGAGACCAAAATTAGATCCTGTCAAAATTAGACCCAAAGGACCATTCAAATAACTGTTTTGGGTCCAGCCTTGTGGCATAATGATTAAGCCCACCATGTTTTGCTTTGGCAGCCCAGGTTCACGGGTTCAGATCCTGGGCGTGGACCTAAACCACTTGTCAAGCCATGCTGTGGCAGTGACCCACATACAAAATAGAGGAAGATTGGCACAGATGTTAGCTCAGGGCTAATCTTCCTCACCAAAAAAAAAAAAACAAAAAACAAATAACTTTGTTTTACTAAAGTCAGGTTGCATGTGGCTTTATTTGAATTGAATAATAAACTGTCTTGGAACTTAGATTTTTTTTTCTCCTTCATTTTGTACAGGTATTTTGTATAAAACTTGGTAGTTTTCAAAGTATTTTCCTATGCATATCTTATAAAACTCTGAAGTCACCTACAGAGAGATTACTATACCCATTTTACAGATGAAGACTACAGGGCTGAGAGATAGTGATTTTTCCCATCAGTGACTAATATGTGGTCATGTGGTCGTGTAACACTGATTCCTAAGCCAGCAGCCTCTTTTATCTAATGCACCACTCCGTCTCTGGTGTTGGTTTTGGTTTCTTCCTTTCTTCCTTCCTTTATTCTTTTTGTAATGATATTTGACTCATAAATCAAATATATCTTAGACTATCTACAAGTTTAACCAGATTAGAGAATATTTTTGGTTATATGCCAAATACATACACATACATATGTACATATATATATATGTTAATATATTCTGCCATACATAAGGATGCTGAATTCTGTGCCAGCTGAAATTGCTGGTAAGCCAGCGACACTTCAATTAAAATGAATTGAAACCATCCAACCTGCTGCAGATCAATGATTTCAGAGTTAAAAAAACTACCTTAGGGCCGGCCCCGTGGCTTGGCAGTTGGGTGCGCGTGCTCTGCTGCTGGCGGCCCAGGTTCGGATCCCAGGCGCGCACCGACGCGCTGCTTCTCTGGCCATGCTGAGGCCGCGTCCCACATGCAGCAGCTGGAAGGATGTGCAGCTATGACATACAACTATCTACTGGGGCTTTGGGGAGAAAAAAATAAATAAATAAAAATCTTAAAAAAAAAAAAAATACCTTATAATTCCTCTTGTTCAACTACCAATTCAGCACCTAAATGCTTTCTCTAATAGTCCAAACAAAAGGTTCTCCTGTCATTGCTTGACCATCCTCAGCGACAAGGAACTCACCATCCCTAGGAGCAGTGTTGCCAATTTCAGAATCTTGGAGAAACATTATTCTTTATCGTCTGTTATCTCTCTGTAATTTCCTCATGGTGAAAATAGCAAATTTTTCTGGTTGTTAGTGCGAAAATCTGACCTAAGTCTGGATCCCAGCTCTATTGCTTATTAGCGGCTATGAGACCCTGGCAAGTAGTTTAGCCCCAGACCTCAGTTTCTTCATCTGTAAAATGGATCAAATGGAATAATACATGTAAATTGCCAGGCATTATAATATGTTCAGTAAGTGCACATGATAAGTGCTCAATAAATATTTGTTAAATGAATGAATGACTCTTATCTTTGGCCTAGGTTCAAAGAAGCAACTCCTCATGTTGAATCACTATATTTTCAAAAATAAAAAATACTTAATTTAGTGCAGTAAAAAAATGAATTTCTTCTTAGGAACAGAATCTTCTTAAAAGAGTCCAGTTGACCTGCTCACCCACATTGGGTAGAAATATGATGCAGCAGGAATACTGTCACTCTGTAACCTGAATCATGCAAATCTGACTTTTGCATCATATAGTATGAAGCATTATTTCAAGTTGCATCTGATCCATGATCTTGCGATTAAAGCATAAATTGTAAATCCTCCTGGAATAAATCTTGACAAATCAGAGTACAAAAAAGAGGATACTTTGAAGATCTGTTGTGTAGAGGATGCTTCTTTCACTTAAGCAGAGCTTGGATGAGTTTCTATCAAAAACCAGGAGATAAAACTAAATGAAGTTTAATTCTATTGAAGCCACTTCAAATTCAAGTGTATCATTCTAACAAGAAAATAGCATCACAATTATCAGCCTTTGAATAGGTCCCTTGGGAGGTTAACCTAATTACTCCATCCGCATTTGATGGTTACTATTTCATTTGCTTAAGTCCCAGGAGACTACAGCAAACGCGTGTATCAAGGCGTGAGAGTGAAGCACACAGTCAAAGATCTACTGGCAGAAAAACGATCCAGGCAGACAAGCAACTCAAGATTTAATGTAAGTCTCAATTTAATACATTCTTAAGTCTTTGGGGGCTTAAGTCTTCTATTAAGGTCAGTTATCCCCCTTCTCCCTATATCTACACATCAATCTCTGGCCTCTGGAGTCTGATATTCTCCGTAGCAAAGCCCTCCTTTAACTGGCACACACTATGTAATTACTATTATTAACATTACGGCACATCTGTCAAGCTATGAGCAAGGATTCCAAGAGCTCTGTGAGCTTATTGGCTGGCTACTTCAGCTAGTGGCAATGAAAAGATGATGTGACCTGACTTTTTCATTTCCCCCAGTCATGAATGAACAAAGGCTCAGTTGGTGGGAATAATGCTGACCTTCATTCACATATTATTCCAAACCTGACAGCAACAACTTAGAAAAATCCTCTCTGTAATATGCAAAATCAGGTTTTAAAATCCTAGTAGAAGATGTCTTTAAGTCTAAAACCTCTACCTGCCATCATGTCTTCATAAATAGCTCCACTCTGTGCCTAAAATGTTTAAGTAGTTGTACCCAGATCTTCATAGATGATTCTAGAAGGGAAATAGCAGTTGGTTATCAAGATGGGTATATAATCACTTATTCTATGAGGTAAAATATAACAACATGAATGTCAGGCATCTGTCAGGCATTGCTGGGTGCAGAACATGAGAGCAGATGACAAGGAATAAACAAGGCACTCACGTACGGCACTTGGACAGAGGCTGGTACACGATAGGTACTGGTTCTTCCAGTGTGTCTGCCCCAAATGTCGGCACTATGTTGAGCACTACTCCAAAATCAAAATTCTGAGACATGTTTTAAATGGCCCAACTCAAGATTGGATTTATTACCATCCAAGGACACATTTTATTGCACATTTTCTTTTTTCCTTTCTTTTAAACCATGCCAACTTCGTCTCTTGAGAGAGAGAGAAGAGAGAGAGAGAGAGAGAGAGAGACAAAGAGAGTTCAGTCTACTCTAAATGAACCACACCCTCATGGAAGCAATCCAGATTTCTTGACCACAACTATAGCTAGAATTGTGAAACTTGATGAAAGTTCCAAGCAAACTGTCAGTTGAGAAGACAAGAGTCACAATGAGGATAACGTCATAGTCCAAGAGCAGAACTGTATCTGCCCTACGTGAGTAACGATATCACTCACTCCTTGGCATCATCACCAATACCCACATTCAAATGATAAGGCACTATACCAGACAATTACACAAAAAGACAGGTTACATAAAAAGATAAGAAGGCAATTATCCAAATGGTGAATATAAATATATTTTTCTTTAAGAAATTACATAACATGACTTCTTGCTCAAGATCTGTGACTATCAAACAGTGTGTTTTCTCTATTTTTTGATGTTTTTACTTTTTAAAAGCTATAACAATATAAACATAATTAATAATAAGCCATATTATTTGATTTAATTTTAAAATGCAGATTCCTGGTCCCTGTCCCATATCTACTAACATACGGTTATTGGGCTGGGGCCAGAGAATGGTCATTTGTAACAAGCTCCTTGGGTGATTCCTTTGTACATCACAGTTTGAGAACTTTACCGCAGAGCAAAGGGCAAGTGTCAGAACATCACACACCACAGCCAAGGTACTGATCTCCACCCAGATAGGAACTTGTTGAGCTGTTGCTATTGGCCCAGTGACATTGAAAGTGTTATAGCCAAAGTGGGTACAGGAAACGCGTAATACACAGTCTGTGCCATTAAACACTAAACAACCTGGGGGAAAGGGAAAATACTTATATGTTTAATAAATACAAGACCATATAACCAAGCACCACATTGAACACTAAAGACAAAAGGCCAGGCAGCATGGCCATGTGACATGAAGACCGTAATACTGTCTATATAAGCACAGTTTAAAGCGTACTACCTTGTGTGTTATCTCATTCATAGATATACTAATCCTGTGAAAGTGATATTTACATGGTTTCTCATTTTACAGACGAAAAAGTTGAGAAAAAGAGAAGGAAAGTGATTGTTTCCAAGCTGCACAAGTGGGAGGTCTTCTGACTTCTAATTCCATGTTCCTTTTAAAGGGAAAGATCAATGTGACTGGAGTAGAATAATCTCTGGCTCATGCTGTCTTCATCCGTTTGGGCTGCTATGACAAAATACCACAGACTGGGTAGTTTAAGAATTTCTCACAGTCCTGGAGGCTGGAAGCCCAAGATCAGGGTGCCAGCATGGTCTGGTTTTGGTGAAATTCCTCTTCCAAGATGCAGACTTTTTGTTGTATCTTCACAGGGTGGAAGGCCCTAGGGATCTCTCTGGTCTCTTTTCTAAAGGCACTAATCCCATTCATGAGGTGTCTGCCCTCATGACCTGATCACCTCCCAAAGTCACCATCTCCTAATACATCATACTGGACATTAGAATATTCATGTATGAATTTTGAGAGGACACAAACATTAAGGCTATAGCACATGCAAATAAAGAAAATCAAAACATAAGAAAACATATCATGTAGAAAGAACTTCTAGGACTGGAAATGTGCAAACCAGCTCTAACTGTGGTAGTTTCTCTCAGGCATCGAGTACATGGGCAGTATGAACTCAGCCTTAACTTTGTGTTCACAAATATTATCCAACGTCTCAACATTAGTATCTTACTCTCATCCTCATTTCAATGTCCTTTTAAATTTGGGTAATTAAATGCATACAGTCCCAAAATGTGGTTATTTGGACTTTAGGTATCTCCATGAATTGAATTGATTTTACTGTCCACTTAGTCATGTTGAATCTTCTCAGCCACTATACTAGAATATCTGTATATCCCAAGAAGGATATCGTATTAATTAATTATCAACTCTCAAGGACCTATTTCTGTCCCTGTTGCAAACACAAACCAATGAGCAGGAATCGTGGAGAATTATGGAGAATCATGTTACCGGCAGGCACCTGTGGGGCTCTACTTTCATGGGTAGAGACTACCTCCTCTTTTTTATACCGATGAACTAGATCACAATAAGTTCAATATCTTTTAATAAGTTCAGATAGGCAATCCATCCTTGGACATGTTTAAAATTTGCTACTGATAACATGGATAATAATCAGTCACAGGCTAACTTGAGGAGATTGAAGGCCCTCCCATGTGGTTTTACCGTACGTATTGTGCTAGGCCAAAAAATGGACCTCCCAAGGATCCTAAGTCAAATCTCTAGAACCTGTGAATGCTGCCTTGTATGGCAAAATATGTGATTAAGTTAAGGATCTCGAAAGGAGGCACTTACCCTGGTAAGTGGTGGGCCCTGAAAGCAATGGCATGTATCCTTATAAGAGGGAGTTTTGAGAGAGACACACACAGAGAAGAAGACACGCAAAAGAGGAAGAGGCAATGTGACCACAAAGGCAGAGATTGGAGCCACATGGCCACAAGTCAGGGAATGCAGGCAGCCACCAACAGCTGGAAAAGGCAAAGGATGGATTCCCCCCAAGGGTCCCATAGGGAGCACAGCCCTGCCAACACCTTGATTTGGACTGCTGGCCTCCAGAACTGTGAAAGAATAAATTTCGGTCTTTAAAAAGACCTTAAAAGCCAGGCTATGGTAATTTGTTACAGCAGCCCTAGGAAACAAATACACATACATTATGAAAACCATGTACCCCCGGATAAGTATCCTTTAGGAAGCATCTATCTGATGCTCAAATTGCTGCTCTTCTCTTTGTGACTACACTTTGATAAGTTTACACAGGCTGTGTTGATCCATCTTTACTACAATTTCCCTCAAGAACATCTGCTTTTGATATCATGAGATGTTTTTTACATCTTTGCAGTAGGACTCAAAGGGGAAAAAAAATCCCTTGCATCAAAAGAGACTTTCACCAAAGACTGGACTTACAACCACTTCTGTATGTTTTAGCCATTACCCTGTGGTTTCCCAACTATTAGTATGGATATCTGTTTTTAAATAATGGCTTTTCTCTTTCTTTCTCACATTTTTCTGTTATTCTTCACTATACTACTAGATCTTGCACCAGAATATTTAAAACATGGGCCATTCACCAACATCTAGTACCAAAAAATATATAATTAGACTTTTCGTGTAGGTTTAGTTGTATTTTTTCTATTACACTATTTCAACTGAGTTCCATAAAAGCTAATCATTGAAATTTTTTAATAACATCACAAAATTCAGTGAACTCTTAGTTATGTATAGTAAAATAAAAAAGAAGTGGCAATAAGCCTAATAGCCACAATTTTTCATTTTGTTTTGAAATTCAGTGAATGATTTGCAGGCTATTGAGCTTTCTAATCAAGTTTTTCTTAAGCTATCATAAAGATTCATTTAAAATCATTGAATATACAACAGCTGGCATGAGGAAAAAACTTTTAAACTTGCTGAGTAGGAAATAGAAAGCAGTTTAGAATTAGAATTGTGTAGTGGAATTGGGGAGTACAATGCAATATCGGGGAGATTAAGAATGGGAATCAGGGTCTGATGTTCACTCTATTTTATTGGTTTATGGACACACTAATAGCTATCCTGCTCTGCTCACTCATCAAAATGTTATAGTGAGGAACAATAAGGAAATAGATATGAAAGTTACTTTAAGTTAATATTCTACATAGACGCGAGGAAAAATAAGTGAAGATTTCTGGTTGTTTTCGGAAGGTCTAAACTGAGGAAAATGTTGAGGAGATCTCTCCCAAGTGGGAAATATATTTGGATTATATCAGCATTGAATTATACATATTTATACATACACAGACAAAAATTGAACTATTTCCACTTGGCATGATTCTTTTTATACCAACCTGAAGTGCTTGCTTTTCAAATAATAATTATTTACAATTATTTTCCCTTTGTGTATTTTCCCAAATCCTTACATTTAAATTAGCTGCTAAAATCTCTACATAAGAACATATAGGATAAAGCTGTACTGTCAGCTGGGTGTTTTGGTTAATAATCTTTCTTAATTATTTTTGGAAGGAAAACATGAAAGGAGCATGACAGTAGTACACAATGATGAAAAAATTTGAAGGAACAGA